TTAAGTTTACGGGTAAACGGGCCTTTGGGGAAAGAGATAAAATCAGAAGTGGAAGACAAGGAAGAAGAAACAGAGTGACAGAGGGAAAAAAACACCTGAACATTTCAGGAAGAGGTTTGAGCTGTCTTGCAGAAAGCCGATGACATGAAATACCAAAAGGCCTCTTTCTGTACTGTAACCATTCTAAGGTTAGGCAGGTCAGCAAAAATGAGAATGGTACTGCGACAATATGAAATAAAGTTGCAGTGGCAGTAAAGAGAGGTGAATGCAAGAAAGAAGTGATTAAAAAGTTGTTACAGGAGGAACTGAAAACACATGCTTCCCTGCCATGCACAACAATGCAACAAGACATGGAAACAACAAATAATAGAAACATACAATGTAGGCCATTCAGCACTTTGAGTCTGCTGCACCATTCAATATGATCATGGCTGATAATCCATCTCAGTACCCTGTTCCCACTTTCTCCCCATATCCTTTGATTCCTTCAGTTCTAAGAACTGTATCTACATCCACAGGCTCACCAGCGTCTGGATGAAGAAATTCTTCCTCTGTCCTAAAGGTTCCACTGCTTATCCTTAGACCACGACCCATGGTTCTGGATTCCCTGGTCATGGAGAACATCTGTATTGCATCCACCCTGTCTAATCCTGATAGAATTTCATAGGTTTCTTTGAGAAATGGCCTACGTCCTTAAGCTGTGACCCCACCCACCACTCTGGGCTCCCACTCATCGGGAACATCCTTCCTGAGTTTACCCTATCTAGTCTTATAAAATCTGTACAATTCTAACATCAGTCTGGTCAACCTTCTCGCACTCTCTCAATTGCTAGAATATCCTTCCTTAGATAAGGAAACTAAAACTGTACACAGTTCTCCAAGTGTGGTCCTACTTGGCTCCTGTATTTGAATTTTCTTGCTATGAAGGCCTACACACCATTGTCACTCTTTACCATCTGCTGCATCTGCATGCTTACCTTCAGCAACTGATGTACAAGGACACCCAGGTCTTGTTGCCCCTCTCACTTTCCCAATTCACCATATTCAGCTGCCAGTTTTGCTATCAACATGGATAACCTCACATTTATACACATTATACTGCATCTGTCATGTACTTACCCACTTACTTAACTTCTCCAAAACACATTGAAGCTTCTCTGCATCCTCCTCACAATACCCTCCCACTCAGCTTAGTGTAATTTGCAAGCTTGGAGATGACATGTAGTTTCCTCACCTAAATCATTAATACATATTGTGAATAGCTGGGTTCCAAGCATTAATCCCCACAGTCTCCCTCTCGTCAATGCCTGCTGCTTGGAAAATGACTTGTTTATTCCTACTGTTTTTTCTGTCTGTCAGCCAGTTCTCAATCCATTTCAATATACAACCTGCAATCTCATGCACTTTAATTTTGCTTTCTAAGCACTTATCTGGGATCTTACCAAAAATTCCTGAAAATTCAAATAAATCTCATCCACTGGCTTGCCCTTATCCAATCTTCCAGTTACATCCTCAAAACATTCCAGCAGAGTTGTCAAGCATGACTTGTTCTTCACAAATCCATGCTGACTCTGTCCCATCTTGTCAATATCTTCCAAGCACTCTGCCGTCACATCTTTCTTCCCACCACTGGAGTCAAGTCTATATTTTTGGTCACTATTTTCTCACTGTCTCCCTTAAGTAATGGGGTTATATTAGCTACCCTGAATCCACAGGAATTGTTGCAGAGCCTTTCGAATTTGGAACATGACTACTAGTACATCTGTTATCTTTACAGCCACGTCCTTAAGTACTCTGGGATGAAGCTTATCAGGCCTGAGGATTTATCTACCTTTAATCCTGTTAGTTTCCCCGACAGCATTTCTCTACTAATATTAATTTCTTTCAATTCCTCCTTCCCGCTGGGCACTGTGTCCACTACCGCACACCCACTCTTCCCCACCACCTCCACCTCCCCCCACTGGTATGTTATGTTATATAGGTCTTCTTTCATGTAAAATGTGTATTTAATTGGTTTGCAGTCTCTTCATTCCCCAGTATAAATTCCCATTTCAGACTGTAGGGGACCTTACTCATTTTTTCTCTTCACATACCTATAGAAACTTTTACTATTGGTCTGCATGCCCCCCGCAAGCTTACTCTCAGTCTATTTTCCCTTTTTTGATCAAATTCTGTCTGCCTTTGCTGAAATCTAAACTGCTCCAAATGGCACTTTGGACATTTAGAGAGGCAGGACAGATTTACAGGCAAAGTCACTTTGTATAGAAACAATAGGCAAGAGTAGATCATTTAACCCTTTGAGCCTGTTCTGCCATTTAATATGATCATTCTGGATGCTCTCAACACAATATTCCTGCTCTCTTTCCATATCCCTTTTAATATCTAAAAAGATCCAGTCATTGCTAAAAAGTAAACTGCCATCAGAATTTTAGACTGTTTCAAAAGGTGGCCAAATGCACCATCTGTAATTATTATACATAGTTAATTATCTTTGAAATTTTTACTTTTGGTAAGTTTATTAGATATCAGGTTAACCAGGAACATCGCTCAGTGCTGCAATATTGTAGCAGCACCTGCCAAAGGTAGTCTAATTTTTGACGCTCATTTTGACCACTTGACAATGGACTAAAAAATTGCAATCTTCAAAGACTTCATTGGACCAGTAACCCAGAGACCCAGGTAATCATCTGGGCACCTGGGCTTGATCCTATCATAACAATTACCCTTATAATCATAGGGTTTACAGACTATGTCCAAGAGACTACAATTACCATCTCTATATCCTGCACCAGCTGCAGGCCAGACCCAGCAGAGGTGGCAACACATTGTTATACATTTGGGAGGGAATTGCCCTGGGAGTCCTCAATATTATCTCTGAACCAAATGCAATCTCATGCATCAGGTCAAGAATGGAAATACTCTCCACTCCCTTCTCTCTGTCCGTTCTTCCACACCCCATAAGGAATTCAATGTCCACGAAGAGCAACTCAGCAGCACCAACACTGACCAAGCTGCTCGATAACTGAAGGGTGGTGAGGGTACCAAGAGGGAAAACCATACTTCATCTCAATCTCACTGATCAGTCATAAGTGATGTTAATCAATTAAACAATTCACTTAAGGAAGCGGTTCCACAAATAT